TTTTTGGTAAAAAGAAGTAACTTTGAAAGAGAAACATTGTTTTTTTTACAATTTTTAATGCTTTCCCGCATCTATCGTTTTCCCGTATTCATTGTTTTTATTTCCCACCCCCGCCGAAAACGATGCATCGAGGTTTCACTGTATTTTGTTTGGTCTGTGTTATACTGAGATAGAATTTTTGGCATAAAGCTTTCATTTCTTTAATAACCAAGTCAGAGTATTGCAAAATACATAATTGACGTCAATATATGTTGTTATTTTCACCATATCAGTATTTTACCACTTTTCTGAAAGCAGTGGCAGACTCATGGGGTCACTATATAAATCCACAAAAAGAAATGAGCTAGGGTAACTGACACCAGAGTAAACCTGGTGATATTATGAATTCTAATGGTGTGAACATGCTTGGATTTGGTTCATGTTTCTACAGTAAATAAATTTCAAGGCCAGTGATGTATACAAAGTTGCAGAGAACATATGCTGAAAATGGAATATACCATTCTGCATTTTTTCCCTCACCCCAGACAAATGATTAGATACTACTTTAAAATAGGTCAAGGTCACTTTCAAATCCCTCTCCACTCACTAGTGATAATCACTGTCATGTATAATTCAGCACTGTACAAGCCCTGTCTGCGGTCAATACTATATCATATATAACTTATGAATTCAATACATTATTTCTAAACTAAGATAAGCATGCTATGTCATGAGGACGGTCATATCACACAAGAAAACACAAACTTTAAAATTAATCTACTTTGCTTACTTCCATTCTGTCATGACATGTGGAATAATTTTCTGGTAGATTCAACAGACAGCAAAAAAGTATTGTGTATCCATAATTACACTAAATGGAGAGCCTCTTGAAGGGAATTGTTTAAGATTAATATTTTTCCTCTAGCCATTGAATTCTTCTCTTTTATTATCATTTATAGTAGATAACAGAATAATTTCAAACTCAGATATTCACAATATAAGTACAGGATAGAGATATGAACTTCATGTGCTGAATACTAATCTCATCTAATAACAAAACAGAATTTACTGTACTGGAATCAAGTAGTTTAATAATCTTCCCCACACTATCAAAATTATTAAATGATGATATAAAAATTATATGATAGCTCTAAAAGAGTATCTCTTCTCATTCCTTCTGCTATGGAGAGGAATTTACGTTAACCAGAAATTCTCGGCAATTATAAATACATGTAAGTAATAATGGTGATTTCTTGTGTAATTTTTTTCTGTAATACTGTAGCAAACTGTAAATAATTGTCATAACTATGTATTTTTATTTGTATTAGAAGCAAATATTGTAATTGTGCTGTGGCATGTTCTACGTCCGTGGCTTATGCCTATGAAGCATCTATGGAATGTAAATAAATTCTATTCTGAACCAATACTTAAAGAGTAGTTTGCCATCTTACCAATGATATACAGTAGGTTCCGGTTAATTGGGGCAGCTGTTTATTTGCGACAAATTGTAAAGAACAAACCCTTTTAACTCTTTACATGGAACTTCACATAATTGGGCCAAAGTGTTCTAGTACCGATGTGTCCAAATTAACCGGAATCCACTGTATCTTTGATCATTACTCTCTTGAGAGTATACAGAATTTGCAATATTTGTAACTAATGAACTCCAAAGAGCAGAGTTCTTGTTGAGAAACTAATAGTTCCTCAACTATTCAAGAAATTTGTTACCTTGTATTAAACCAAAAGGTATGCATGGCCATGAAGATGGCTGTCTTCTGGGTTTCAGTGCCATGTAGTCTGGCAGAAGACGGCCATCTTCATACTCGCCACCATGAGAACCTCAAATCTCACATATTACCATGTTCACAAAAGCCTGCTTGCGGTATCTTTAAGTGCCCAATATTAAATAATGCTTCTGTGTTTTACATTTGTATACCATTGGCTTAAACTTTAACCACTACATATGTAATATGTGTTAATTTCATAATTCCAGAACCGTAGACCTTTGTAGTGACTGTGTACTATGAGCACTACATGTGATTTAGGTATCTAAAGTGTTGTTGTGAGTTAATAAATATATTACACTTTTGAAATGTATAGTGTTATGTACGTGATGACTCGATGAACTGACAAGAGACAGACGCATCACATTGCTATGACCCAGAATTAATTAGTAAACATAAACTGTTTAGTACAATTTAGATTATGTACCTTGTAATTTCTGTAATTGCAGTTTCTGATAATTTACAATTTCTGTAAATATTTAATTCTTAGTCAATTTCACACTTATACAACAGTAGAGTTGTCCAAGAAGAGACACGCTAATCACTCATTCTTTACAGAATACAAGAAAAAGGTTTTCCAGTATGAAGAAGATATTGACCAACTTCATGTGCTGAATACTAATCTCATCTAATAACAAAACAGAATTTACTGGAAGGATTTCAGACCCAAGAAATGGCAAAGATTAAACATTTGGTAGGTAAGCTTTATGAGTAAATGTTCTTGGTGAAAAGGTTTCAGTGGGTGATTTAATTTGTACCTAAATATAAAAATCCCTTTAGACTATATACATTACACATGTCAGAGAAATTGCCAACCCTATAAAGTATTGAATATATGTTTGAAGCAGGAAATAGAAACATGTGATTTGGTTAAATATTCCAAAGAAGGATATGGAGAATAATAAAATTAAATATGATTTATAGGAGGATGTTAACTAAAACATTACAGCACTTTAAAAGCAGAAAACACATGCTATTTTACTTCCATATCAGTGTGAATGCCCTGAGTGATTTTTCCATATCCTGAATTCTTTTGCCATATGACTCAT